AATCCGGGTCTCTGTGGAGCGCGTATGTCGGGATCATCACCACCATGTCTTTAGGGATGAGGAGGCCGTTGATATCCACCGTTTTCTTACAGACCCGCTCGAGTCGACCAGCGACGGGGAACAGCCGCAGAGACTCGTTCAGCGCCGCGTCCAGATACTCCATGTTCATGACGGCTTCATAGTCCACCGGAGCCTTCAACACAGTTCAGAGCTTAACCTCTCAAACTCTTCACACTTACAGATTCACTCAGTTCTCCGAGCTCTACCTTATCAGCGAAGGTCTGGTCGATCTCCTCCTGCAGTTTCTTCATGGCCTCTGGGTTGGTTGCCAGATTGTAGAAGAAGAAGGACAGAGTGCTGCTGGTGGTCTCGTACCCGGCGAAGATGAAGATCATGGACTGCGAGAGGATCTCGTGGTCGCTCAGACCTGCACAGGACACCGTTTGAGGAACGCGTGCCATTAAACGTGAATTATTGTGAAGGAGAGTGTGAGCAAACGAGAATCGTGACAAAGATCATAAGAGTCACTGAAGATGTACTTTTAATGATGTTAAAATGGTTGAGTTTGTGTATCATTTTTGCATGATTTTAATAGCCATAATGAAAGTGACGATATATCATTTACCTCAGATCTTGAACATAAGGAAAACAAGAGATATATTAAAGCAATAAGCCCCGTGAAGCCGTGGTTTACAGTGAATTTATAACAGCTAAGGGGCGTTGTTAGGCACGACGCGAAGCGGAGTTAGCTGTTATAAATTCACTGTAAACCACGGCTTCACGGGGATTATTGCTTTTATAAAACGGTTGTTCCATATACGTAGCAAGGTTTCACAAAATAAAACAGAGCAAATAAAGTGTAATGATATTAATAAAAACAGTGTTCTTCCACCAAACAATGTAGCTCCTCAGAAACAGTTGTGGTTGTTACAAAGTTGTTGCCGAGCAACAGACAAACGTAAACAAAGGTGTATGTTACTTTGTAGAGTAATTTACAACAGCTTTGAACGCAGCTCAGCCAATCAGAATCAAGCACCGGAACTCTCCGGTTTATAATAAAGGGTTAGTTCACCCACAGATGGGTTCAGGGTGAGTAAAACACAGGCTGATTTTCATTTTTGGGTGAACTAACCCTTTAATGTTAAAATGGTTTAATTTTTATTCGATTGATCTATTGAGTTCGATTACATCTACACAATATGGATAAGTTTTGCATACAGACATTGTCAAAACATTCCCCGTTCACACGCTTCCACAAAAGATGCTGTATTATTAATGTCAGGCC